AAATCATTTGTACGTGCTTTGATTCGATTTCAACGATGGGAATGAACCAGCCTGCAATCAGGAATGCTGCAACACTGCCCGCTAGTGCAAACGTAGTGAGAATTCCGTACTGGTTAGCGAAGGGCAGACTAAGTGGTTTAGGCTCTACAGGGGCATAAGATCGAGATTAATATTTTTACATTTTAGCTTCATAGTCTTCACGTGTTTAAATTCGGCTGCTGCGTTGATTGATTGAGAGCTATTTTTGAATAACATACGTCATCAGTGCGTGCTACAGATGCCAAGGCTTGCAATATTTAGTCGTCTACACGACGAGGATTAGACAATTTGTCTCATCATTACCCAACTCTTACAATACGCTCTATAATAATTATTAGGTCTTACATAAAATAACAAATCTTAAATAGAATTTATAAGTACTGTGAAATAACAATATTAGACACCAGGCCATTAAACTATATGTACTTTTGCCAGCCAGCTCCCGTGGTTAGTTTCTTTGATAATAACACTTGACAATGAATTAACAAATACTCCCGTACCTAGATCGTCTGCAGACTCATCATGTCGTCACGGTTACGGATCAATTTCAAAGCCATCAGACCACGCAGCGGCGAAACACGATCCATCATAACACGATTGCGAAACAGTCGGACAGTAAAACGGTCGAGTTAAAAACCGAGAGATATAGAAGACAGACAGACAGACAGACAGACAGACAGACAGACAGAGAGAGAGTGATGCATACTTGGATAATTAACATCGATTACGCGCATGCATGCGTGTATTGGCGCGAGTACCCTGGGTTAGAGACATCTAGGGCTAGTAGTGTGGCAACGACGATGACGCGGGGACGAATCACGGACAGGGACCCGCCGCCGACAACAGTGCCTCCGCGTCCCTGACCAATCACGAGCGACGATGACGACGATGACGGCGACGGCTCCTGCTCCGGCACACGACGACGGCGATTCGCGGCCCAGCGCCCGCTCCCGCTCAGATGGACTCCGCGTTACGGCTGCCAGCCTGCAAGCACGAATACAATGAACCGCCGAGTGAGTGAGTGAGTGAGTGAGTGAGTGAGTGAGTGAGTGCACGAGCGAGCCGCCCGAACAGCAATAACGAGAAAGTGACGACACTCGAATCCACGCTCTCCTCCGTCCGAAAACGAGCCGATGTCACATTAGATCAGAATCGGGAGTAAATACACGGACGTAGTATGAAACATTGAAGGTAGAGTTCTTTTCGTGTAAGCACCGTAGGACTCAAACGAAAACATTAACAATTAAACAATTCAAACATTCAACATCGAAATTTGTGCGCAAGCGCAAGTGATTGACGAAGCCAGAGTGTGTTGAGCAGGAGTAAACATCATGGATACGTTACTGCCGATAACAACATCACTTACAAAAACAAATACAAGCCACTACCGCGTTAGTTAACATCGGGAGTACATAACGTACTGCTGATAGAAGCCAAAGATTTTGCGAAGAACAGAAACAGAAGTCTTAGCGATAAGTGCAGTGCATGCATGTGTATGTGCACATGTGCGTGCATGTGTAAATGCGTGTTTGTGTGCGTGAGTGCGTGCACTTTGTGTGTGCGTGACCCTCAAAATTACAGGTGACTCAGCAGAACAAAACTTCTTTAAAACTTAACAGAACACGGTAACACTGCTAACGACAACTAGACAAGCACTAGCAGCACAGAATGAAGCTTTCCAAACATTCATATAAAAACATTGCCTCAACGTCGTGCTGGCAACGCCCCCTGGTGGTGCACGCGTGACTCTCGTGGAACCGGATTCATCATACAGGTAAGCATTTCCACTCAGACACTGTTTAAACGCTCCTCTACAACACACACACACACACAATGTTGCCCCACGCACGTCACCGTGCACACATACACAAGAGACGTGTGTAACCTATCTACTGTGTATCTGTGCACAGAAGTGCATGTGCGCGTAGCAAACATTGTGCATCATGCAGAGAAACATTTCAGTAGTGTCAAATTAACAAGGCGATATGGAGTACATAAGCGATAAAAGCTTCTGTAGGGAACATATATTGCGATAATACATACATATATATATATAGCGATATTGACTATCATTTCATTACTGGAATGGCCCAACTTCCTGTGAATACGAGGGTGGGGAATGCATGCCCATCGACATAATTACAACGACCCCGAGAACTATGACGACAACGCGATGCAGCAGACTGTGCAGTGTGCGTGTACGTGTGCGTGCACGTGAGCATTCGATCGTTCTCACCTGCAAGTTATACTAATACCTCACGCGTCCCACGCTAGCTAAAACACACGGAAGTTTGAATAACACATCTGCAAGAGAAAAAAACGACAGGCGCGGATACATCAGCCACCAGCCACCTGCCACCGAAGCCACCACCGCCACCAGTCAGCAACAGCGACACAACCCGTGTTAGTGAAAAATGCGACCAACACCGGAAAAACATGCTTGCGGCTTGTTTTTATTGTAATAATATTGCAGCCAATATAATATTGGCGTCATATTGTAGATATAATATTTATCTCTATATTTGCATATAGAGTATAGATGTGCACTACTAGTATATATATATATATGTTCATAGTAAGATAGCTATCCTAGTCATAGTTCAGATAGCTGTGTGAGAATATCATGGATGGGACAGATTAGCTGTTATCGCAGACGTAGGTAAAGATTATTGGTGTTCATATACGCAGTTGTGGATTGTAAATATTGTACCATTTTTTATCGCATAATTCACGCTTTTAAAGATGGCGTGCGATCAAGTATGCGGGTATTTTTGTAAATACAGTAAATACTTTTTTTATTGTAGGAGCGTAGTGTGTTGTCACTGCTAAATTTACCTAGATAGGCCAAGCCAAACATCTCTGTGGAATAGAATTAGTGATGCTTGTATACGTAGATTTGCAAAGTATTAAGGGTTAATTTGATTGATTTTATAGGTGTCCAGTTGCCACCAAAAATTATCACTCTTTCTAAGGGTGAGACGTCTAATCTATTAGTCTTGTCTTTTATAGTCATAAATAGTTTACACATTAACTATGATTTATATACAATCTTAAGCAAACCAAATCATTGCCGTCTTTCTATTGAATTTTTCCAATATGTCATTTTGTTTGTTTGTTTGTTTGTATGTTTGTTTGTTTGCAAATTGCATTGTACCAGGACAAGTCACGATGTAAGTAAACTAATAAACGAGCGTGACTCCGAAAACAAATTCTTTTATTTTTGCACTTTTGATTCTGCAGTATACACGATGATTACATCTCTATGCCCGAACTTGCAAAATTAAAAAGTGGGGGCATCGCACTGCACGCCTGCCATTCTCCCCCAGCTATCCATCGCAACAAGTTACGGAGAGTGGAGAGAAATTCTGTCGCGACTGCCGCGCCGTTCCCGGGTGTTCAACCACAACGAATGTCAGGATGTTCACTGACAACAAATGGCCAGATGTTCACTGACAAGGAATGCCGGGGGATGTGTTCATCTGCCCACTTCGTACCTCCCAGCACACACAGTCACACACATATCCGACAATACACCCAAGCACCCTAACATCGACAAATCTGCTTCCCCACCCCTCGCACCGCGTCCGATGCAGATTTTTCACACTTTCCAAACCAAACACCCAGCACGCCGCTGCTGCTGCTGCGGCAATAGAACGCAGCGCACGTAAAATTACATGTACAATTAACACGTCAATTACCAAATCTCACCCGAACAAACAAAATCGTCATTGCGGGGTATCGTTAGGGTTCGGTCGGCGACCGCCATAATTAAAGTAACGTTACATAATTGAATGTACGACTCCGATGAAATTAACGCTCATCGTTAGTTTTAACTCTTCCCCCTCCAAAAAAACTTATACAAAAATCATTTGTACATGCTTCCATTCCATTTCAACGATGGGAATGAACCAGCATGCAATCAGGAATGCTGCAACACGGCCCGCTAGTGCAAACGTAGTGAGAATTCCGTACTGGTTAGCGAAGGGCAGACTAAGTGGTTTAGGCTCTACAGGGTCATAAGATCGAGATTTATATTTTTACATTTTAGCTTCATAGTCTTCACATGTTTAAATTCGGCTGCTGCGTTGATTGATCGAGAGCTATTTCTGAATAACATACGCCATCAGCACGCGCTACGGATGCCAAGGCTTGCAATATTTAGTTGTCTACGCAACGAGGATTAGACAATTCGTCTCATCATTACCCAACTCTTACAATACGCTCTATAATATTAGGTCTTACATAAAATAACAAATCTTAAATAGAATTCCTAAGTACTGTGAAATAACAATATTAGACACCAGGCCATTAAACTATATGTATTTTTGCCAGCCAGCTCCCGTGGTTAGTTTGTTTGATAATAACACCTGACAATGAATTAACGAATACTCCCGTACCTAGATCGTCTGCAGCCTCATCATGTCGCCACGGTTACGGATCAATCCCAAAGCCTTCAGACTACGCAGCGGCGAAACACGATCCATCATAACACGATTGCGAAACAGTCAAACAGTAAAACGGTTGAGTTAAAAACCGAGAGATATAGAAGACAGACAGACAGACAGACAGACAGAGAGAGAGTGATGCATACTTGGATAATTAACATCGATTACGCGCATGCATGCGTGTATTGGCGCGAGTACCCTGGGTTAGAGACATCTAGGGCTAGTAGTGTGGCAACGACGATGACGCGGGGACGAATCACGGACAGGGACCCGCCGCTGACAACAGTGCCTCCGCGTCCCTGACCAATCACGAGCGACGATGACGACGATGTCGGCGACCAGGGGGCGACGGCTCCTACTCCGGCACACGACGACGCCGATTCGCGGCCCAGCGCCCGCTCCCGCTCAGATGGACTCCGCGTTACGGCTGCCAGCCTGCAAGCACGAATATAACGAACCGCCGAGTGAGTGAGTGAGTGAGTGAGTGAGTGAGTGAGTGCACGAGCGAGCTGCCCGAACAGCAATAACGAGAAAGTGACGACACTCGAATCCACGCTCTCCTCCGTCCGAAAACGAGCCGATGTCACATTAGATCAGAATCGGGAGTAAATACACGGACGTAGTATGAAACATTGAAGGTAGAGTTTTTTTCGTGTAAGCACCGTAGGACTCAAACGAAAACATTAACAATTAAACAATTCAAACATTCAACATCGAAAATTGTGCGCAAGCGCAAGTGATTGGCGAAGCCAGAGTGTGTTGAGCAGGAGTAAACATCATGGGTACGTTACTGCCGATAACAACATCACTTACAAAAACAAATACAAGCCACTACCGCGTTAGTTAACATCGGGAGTACATAACGTACTGCTGATAGAAGCCAAAGATTTTGCGAAGAACAGAAACAGAAGTCTTAGCGATAAGTGCAGTGCATGCATGTGTATGTGCACATGTGCGTGCATGTGTAAATGCGTGTTTGTGTGCGTGAGTGCGTGCATTTTGTGTGTGCGTGACCCTCAAAATTACAGGTGACTCAGCAGAACAAAACTTCTTTAAAACTTAACAGAACACGGTAACACTGCTAACGACAACTAGACAAGCACTAGCAGCACAGAATGAAGCTTTCCAAACATTCATATAAAAACATTGCCTCAACGTCGTGCTGGCAACGCCCCCTGGTGGTGCACGCGTGACTCTCATGGGACCGGATTCATCATACAGGTAAGCATTTCCACTCAGACACTGTTTAAACGCTCCTCTACAACACACACACACACACAATTGCTATCGGGTGTTGTCGTGTAGACGCTACATAATCGCTAACTCAAGTTAGCTTAACTCGAGTTAAGGTTCGTCGTGTAGACGAGGCACAGTGTAGATAGGGTCCCTATATACAAAGGGATATAAGGTAATTAAGGGATTTAATATATAAGGATGTAAGTGTAGTCACATCGCACAAAGAGACACAAAACCACGCGCGTGTGCTTTCTCTCGCGACCAGAACCTGTAACATCAATGCAGCCGCAACAAGATGCGCGACGCTGTGTCTAGATAGACTTAGGGTCCCTATATACAAAGGAATAAAGGGATATGCGAGTGGTTTAATTAATTAGCAAGTATCTACGCGCGGTATCGCACATAGGCTAATATACGCACGGCTATGGGCGGTAAGAAAGTGTACAATTAAACTATCATAATATTATTATGGCGCGAACGATTTGAGTTACGTTTCTAAAAATCTAGATATATATAAACACGTGTTATCTATGATCTCTGTGATTCTTGAGTTTATTGAAGCGTGAGTGGTTTCATTAATTAGCAAGTATCTACGCGCGGTATCGCACAGGCTAATTTACGCACGGCTATGGGCAGTAAGAAAGTGTATAATTAAACTATCATATGGCGCGAACGATTTGAGTAACATTTCTAGAAATCTAGATACATACAAACACATGTGTTATCTATGATCTCTGTGATTCTTGAGTTTATTGAAGCGCGAGTGGTTTAATTAATTATAGCAAGTATCTACGCGCGGTATCGCACAGGCTAATATAATAATTTTGAGCTCGCCCTAAAATTCCTAAACAAACTTAAAATGTATGCAATTCCTAAAAAAGGGCTAAAATTTTATTCAAGTTGCTAAAAAAATAATTTAACAGATATGTTTGGAGTTTTTGGTGATGAGATGATGAACTTTTGGTTTGTAATTATGTCTAATGCAGGGTCTCCAACCATTCTTCATTCTGCGGAATCATTACGATTTCTAGGCTTAATTTTGCATTCTGCAGCGCCAAGGTTATATTCCTCATTTCAGTTGCACTGTACAAAATTTGCACTGATTGTTCGCATTGTTCGCGTGGACACATTGATTTTTTTCAGGCATTTTGTATCTGGCATGTCTACCGTAAATGGAACAGCCTAGTCAGACAGGCGCTGTCTGCAAGGTGTCGCGTAGTTTGTCTGCTAATCAGACAAGGGTTGTAGGGTTGAGTTTAGGGTTGAGATAGTGTTATCAGACATGAGAATATGGCCCACAGTATGCCTCAGATTGCAGGAAAATGGCTTAAATATTTCTAAATTTTCCACATGGAACTGTATCTGTAAGTTGACACGTTGATGTTTATGAAAGGTAAGTGACTTATTTTATCCCTAAAATGTTTCGATTCATCCCTAAAAATTCCTAAAATAGCCCTAAAAAAACAACGCTCCTCTACAACACACACACACACACACACACACACAAGCACACACGTGCACACGCAGACGCAGAAAGTGCCGTACGATCGCTAGCAGATGACGCAGCACATCAGAAAAAAAGACTCCACTTCCGCACAGTCAAGCAAGAGGAGCGAGAAAGCCGTACGAGCGCCCCTGCCCCCGACATGTTCCCCCCTCTCAAAGCACCGGCTACTCCTACACATAGAACCAGAACACCAGTGACGAGTTGGTCACCTCCGAAATAGAAGCAGCAAGCCAGCGTCCACCGCAAAGGAGGTCAGCATATAGGACGCAGCAGCGCAGTGGCCGAATTACCTTACGACTTACCCGGACGATTATTTTGAGCTTTTCCAAATTTTACGAAGGGGGTTACTACTTTTATGTGCCGGCTTTTCCTACACGATTATTTAATAGAGAGAAAAGAGAAAGAAAGACAGAACATGGGTAAAATGTTAGTGACATGCAGAGACTAGTCACACTAACTGTGAGTGTTCAATTCGGACTAATAACGCTACAAGGAAAAGGGTAGCAAATAGAACGTTTAAAAATTAAAATTAAAACATGATCAAAATTAAGATATTTTGATTCAAATATATATATAACCAAGAGCTAATTACACCTCTTGATATTAGCTCTCGTATTATTAGCTCTTGATATAACCATAATTACAAATAATTTTACGTTTCTAAATTAAACTAATTTTAATCGGATATTTAGCCACATGCAAAGCTATTTGCCAGCATCTTTAATAGCCATGCTCAGTTGCTCACATGTCATACATGCAGAACAACATGTTTGCAACGAAAATATATCGTGTAAAATATCGTGAATCCTTCTACACAGTACCTTGTATTAGTTAGAGAGAATCTAATCAGGAGAATACGACCATGCAATATAAACAGCTATTCCATTAACACGAGAGATGGTCATGCACTCCAGTAAAAGATCACACAACTTCTACGGTTAACGAAGCATCGTTACACCCCGTGTCATCCACCCACTATACTCTCTTCAATTAAGACAGTTTCTCTCTCCTCTCCCTCCTTCTCCTCCTCCTCCTCCCCTCGTCACTCTACTGGCTACGTATGCACACGTCTACCTGTACCACTAATTATTTACTACCTATTTACTGTAACCTCTAGCCATTACTGGTTCCGTAGGACACCCGACCCGTCACGGCATGACCCGACACGGCATGACCCGCCACGGCATGACCTGCCACGACATGACCTGACACGACATGACTTGCCACGACATGACCTAATACGGCATGACCCGACACGACATGACCTGATATGGCATGACCTGCCACGACATGACCTGATACGGCATGACCGGACACGAAATGACATGACCTGCCACGGCATGACCTGATACGGCATGACCTGATACGGCATGACCCGACACGGCATGACCTGATACGGCATGACCCGGCACGGCATGCGAAAAGCAGCACAGATGGGGAATACCACGTTATTTTCATGCCACGTGTGTTTCACACTAGCCCTGCAACGCCACGTGTAAATTAAGCAGCCCCTGTCGTGAATAATAGTACCTCACGTCGTCGCAACTTGTTACATACTGCTGCAAGCCATTTGTTATTATTGCAACTTGTACATCACTGCTGTTGCCTGCTGCAAATTGTTGCAAGCTGTTTCATACTGTTGCAAATTGTTGCATATCGTTGCTTATTGCTGTATCAGACTGACATCACCTCTAGTAATAGTGTGATATCAAACCCTCAGCTATTAGGGGATAGCAGGGCAAGCATTTCCAGAATAATCATTACTACATGATGAGTATGACATGCACGTGTTGTCAGTGTGACATTGGATGTGACATTAGTGTGACAACTGAATAACACCCGCGTTACATCGACCTTGTGACATCTGTGTAACAGTGATGTGACAGCAATGTTTCCTCTATGCAACATCTGTTTGACAGTGATGTTACATTGATGTGACATCTGTGTTTCAGCAATGTTACACTGATGTGATGTGATCTATACGACGTCTGCATGGCATCTATGTGACATCTGTTTGACAGCAGTATGTGACAGCAGTGTGATGGCGTCATCTGTCACCAGAATGACATCTAAGTGACAGCGACGGCGGCGTGTGATGACGGCGGAGGCGGTGACGACTTACCAGTTGTGCTGTGAGATGTTTGTTTGTCATGATCTCCTGCTCCAGCTGTTTCTCCTGTTCAGCCACCTTCAGCTTCAACTGTAAACAACAAACAACAACAACGTCAACGTCAGATGATCCAATACACACTGCCAGACGTATATATATATATATATATATATATATATACATACAATTATATATATAATCACATCACCTCTAACGAACAAGACATGTTCCAGTAGTGACTAAGCATGCTCGCTTACATAGGTCTTCCTTGTTTTTAATGGCGGCCACGACGAGCGCTACTTACGCTGTCAATGTCGCCTCCGGCGCTGGCGACCCCGTTCGACTGTTGCAGCTGCGCCTGCAGGCGGCGCACGTGCTCCTGCTCGTGTCGCAGCGCGTCCTGACCAGTCTTCACGATGCCCGTCAGCTTGATGACCTGCTGAGCGAGCTGCTTGTTGCCCTGGAACTCCTCATCCACCTTCAACCGCAGGACGGTCACCTCCTGATGGAGAGAGAGAGAGAGAGAGAGACGAGCGAACGCGCGTTAGTGTCGCAAGGCGTTACGATAAAATTACCATGAGTTCATTAAATAAATGTATAATGTAATGGGATTTTTAAATTTCGATTTTAAATTAAATTGAAAAAATTTAATAATTACATTACACGCGTTGCACATGGGTGAAGTGGTTGCGTGGCTGCATAAAACATCCAAAAATATATAAAAACATAAAATACGGAAACTAAACTATACGATCCTAAAACAAAAACCCCCTCGTTAACTCCCGTCAGATCTGGGGCGGGGAATGTGACCTAGTGGCGCCTCCTACCTGCTGTAGCTCGTCTGTCTTGCCTAGTGTCTGCTGAGCGTCGTGCAGCTCTGTCGTCTTGCTCTCCAAGTCTGTCTGCCGCTCAGACAGCCGCGCGTTCGACTGCAATTCAATCATACGCTACTGAGCATACAGCAAGATTTTCTACGAAAACATGCGATCATTCACCACCAAAATACGCGATCGTTTAGTACTATAACACGTGATTGTCTACTACTGAAACACGCAATCATATACTACTAAATTACACAATGATTTACTACTAAAGCACGCAGTCATTTATTATTAAAACCCGAGATGATTAGCTACTAAAGTATGCAATTAGTTCACATTAAAAAAGCGATTATTTATTATTAAAACACTCGATCGATCGTTCACTAAGCAATAATACTTTCTTAATAATACTAGCCCTATTTTCGAGCTAATGTTGACATGTGATGTCATCTACCGGCTCACAGCAGTAACATAGACCGTTAAAGTAAAAGATATGCTACAATAGTACGGTATACAGAGAGTGCATTATAGGATATCTAAAGCTGAAGCTGCGAAACTTGTCACGCACACTTACCTCTCTCAGCTGTTCCTTGAGATGTTCACGGTCTATCTCTTCAGCTTTAAGTTTCACCTGTAGCACCTTCAACTTCTCCTGTAGCTGAACACAGAATCAAAATACACCTTATAAGTCAGTTATGTATAAATATGTAAATATGTGTAGGGAGAGAAAGTGACAGAGATTGAGAGGGAGAACAGAATGTGGGGGAGGGATGGAGGGAGGAAGCGAGAGAGCGAGCAAGGGAGGGAAAAAGACAACATATTGTATATTTCTCAAACAAACTTCAGTTGTTTAATTCTCGCCCATCTAGACCAGCCGTGGACAACTTCTCAAGACAAGGTAAAACAAAAGGACAAGTCATTATATATACAGAGAAAAGAGAACGATCGTACCTCAATGACTCCCTCAGCCGCAGTTTTCACTTCCTCCAACTTTCCCTGAAGTAGGTGCTTCTCTCTCCTCTCCTGCACAACGGGGTACATTTCGATTATCACCATGTACTTACTATCCTCGCATACATGCATAATGTAACATATTTCATACATGCATACATATATACATATATATACATATATATATATATATATATATGTGATATGCACGCGGGTAATTTATAACTATAATTAGCGCGAATAGTGATACGACTAATAGGGCAGATCCTATTGAGATTATGTCGGTGTCAAGGTCATAGAAAACTCTATGTCACTTGTCCCTCGAAAAAAATGTTGCGGCAGATAAAAAGACATGACAAGTATTCATTCCATTCACACAGTTCGTGAATGCTCAATGTCCAAAGCTGGAGAATTTGATTAATCGATTTTATACAGGGTGTTGGGGCATTAACAAGGCATCTTCAGCATTTACTATCAGTGTCAGTTACACAGCGAAACCACCTCTATAGAAACCACACCTGTGCAAAACGGAAACTTTTGGCATTTCCCTTAGTGACCCTTGTATAGAGGTATTATTCTATTTGTTTGAGTAAGGCATACCTGGCCCAAGTCGGCTTCTACGGAATCCAGTTTCTCCTTCCATTTCTTCTCCTCTGCTTCCACGCTGGACTGTAACTCCGTTAGCATTGCCTCCTGTTAACAAACACAAAGCACACAGATGGCAATGCTTGCCTTTCACCTTCATTTCGCACGCATCTCTACATATATTCTATGCTGACGCTGCATACAAAAGAAGCTTGACAAAAAATAGATGTGTTTATTAAGATATAGCCTTCCATTTCTGGTGTAATTATTACTAACACGATACAAAACTGCGACCGCGATGTGGGAACGTAAGACGACTCAAATATTTAATCCAAGCTACACGATGAGCAAGATTCTTGAGCGAATTCTTGTTAAAAGCTCTTCTTCCTCTTCCATGCTGAAAGAACCCAATTAGCACACGCATGTTTGTTAAACATCCTAGAGATGCAGACACTCTTAACATGAATGCAACATAGATGAAATTATCTCTTTATTGTACTCCACTAATAAGTTTAGTGGTCAGACAGAAAAATGCGAAATTTAAATAAAACAGAGCCAAGTCAGTGTCTTCCTCAAAGAATAACCACATGCCATCTCAACAGACCAGTAGCAGGGTAAACACAGGTGGCACGTTCTGTAATACGGCATTCTGCCTAAAGAAACGCATGCTGCAAGCAAACAATTGTAATCTCACTCTACAAAATTTTCTGCAATATACGAATATTGAAGATGGATTTTAGAAACGACAACAACAAAATAGCGGATGGCCTGGAAACGTCTCCACTACGACGTGGGGATAGAGAGGATCAGAGAGACGTCGGTCGCGTGCAAGCAAGGCCAGGAGCAGCATCAACATCAACATCAACAACATACCACATAGACCGTACGCCCTCCCCTGCAAACACGTATCTTTTGGTCTAATATACGAAACATGCACACTATGATCCATACGCTCTCCCCATTATAGTTCTCTCTTTCAGTCTAACACACGAAACAGACATATGTCCACTCCCCCCTTTTACGCTTCTCTCTTTCGGTCTAACGTACGACACATGCCTACAGCGAGAGCAATGAGTGCAACAGAAAGTGACAGGATTCCACTATAACTGCTATATCCACTATAACTGCTATATCCACTATATATACTAATGCCACGTAATACACAATAGGGCCGCACACCTACGCAACAACATGACACATTTCAATCCCCTACTAACGCACCGGCACCACAAAAATGCGAAAGGAACACCGCGTACATGCAAGTCCGTGGAAGCAGCGGACACCGGAAAGCAGTCGTTGCCGCAGTGACCACTCTCCCTCCCACGGAATAACATGCAAAGCCACGCGTGAGAGATATATATGCCATGGTTGGTCCGACACCCTCTCTCCAGGGCAACAACAAGCAAAGCCACGCATAAGAGAGATAAGCAAGGGTTGGTTCACCATACTACCTCCAGGGGGGAAAAACATGCAAAGCCACGTGCGCAACATCAAGAGAGAGAAAGAGAGAGAGAGAGAGAGAGAGAGAGAGAGGTGATGCGATATGCCCGAGGAGGGGGCGGGGTAGCTGGCGGGCGGGCGCCTGGAGGGGGTACTTACTGTGTCAGACAGCACAGTCTTGTAGTGCTGAACACGACCCTCTATCTTCTCTGATCGTGCCAGCGCGTTGCTAAGCTCCCGTTTTAGCACCTCCTCCTGGAATAGAAGTGCGTTGTAACGCGCGCGGTGAGGGGCCAGGAACCCCCAGCTAGCAACCCTCTCCGATCGTCCCCTGCCCACTAATTTATAAACTAACGTATTTTTTAACGTCTTCTTACTGTCCTGTGCTAGGCTCTGTGTCACACTAGGATGTCCATGCCTACTGTTGCTACAGGACTGACTATGCTCTGTAGTACAGTATACTGTGCTCAGTACACCAGTATTGCTGTACTAGGTGGTAACAGTAGGCAAGTACTGCGTACGTGCGCACTGCGCCTCTTCAAGATTGCCCAACTATGGGCAATATATACCACACGAACACCGCTCGTTTTACGTTTCATGTGAGTCCCCCGCAAGTCAGGCAAGTAAGGGCGTGCATCTTTTGCCATTGCAACGAAAACCCTCGATTTCACTAACACGCCTGTGTGAGTACTACGACAAGTCCCGACCTCCTCGACCACACCCGTGACCCTCACGTGACCTCTGTCGAACCCACGCCTGCATGCCTGTCGCCGGTGCCGCGCCAGGGGAAGCTCAATGATTCCTCCGTGAGGTGTTGTGAGGCAGCCCGCAACTGACCGATCGACGGGGATCGACAGGCCGAGCCAAGTAGCATGTTAGTTGCCATGCTGGGGAGGGTCACAGGGTCATGAAGCACAGACACGACAGGAATCCCCCCCGAAATCTGACGTGGATGAAAGGAAGTGAGAAGAAAAGCAGCGGCAGGGGGTAGCATTGTGAGGACGGAGAGGGTATATAGAGAAAGCGAGGGAACGGGTGGCAACACGAAAGGTCAAAGCTCAGGGATCAGAGGTTAATGGTCAGTGTTCAAAGGGTAAAGGTCACAGCTCAGGGATCAAAGGTTAAAGGTCAGTGCTCAAATGTCAAAACTCAGTGCTCAAAGGTCACAGCTCAGGGATCACAGGTTAAAGGTCAGTGCTCAAATCTCAGAGGATTCGATATAAGACACCAACACTCAGTGCTCAAAGGTCACAGCTCAGGGATCACAAGTTAAAGGTCAGTGCTCAAATCTTAGAAGATTCGATATAAAACACCAACAGGTATAATAACAGGAATGATGAAAACATAAATAATGTCAAAGAAGCACGCACAACAGTTACACTCTCTCACACCAACACAACTGAAAAATGTTTTCATAGAACTATACAAAAATTTTCTGAACAGTACCTTTAGGTTGTCGTGACTATCTGCTTTCAACCTCTCCAATGCTTCACACGCTTGAGTCTCGAATTCAGACAAGAATATTGACTGATCCTGAAAAAAAACACCATCAGCCTTATTTAAATATGCTAAATATCTGATCACGAATATTACGACATTTCTCATGTACAGACAAAAATCACATGTATGTTATGATTACTACAATCCAATCAAAACTGCTCACTAAGAGGAAATCTCCACGTAATTTACACTCTATATCCTATAGCATAGCAACATCTATGTAACATTGTTAATAATACGTAAATTAACATTACAGTTAACAACGATTAAATTAACATACTGTATAAATATACTGTAACATTCTGGTGGGCAACCCGTGAAAACGTTGTCGGTAAAAACTTCAAAATAATCATCATAGCTATTATCACACAATAACATATTATATCATCACATTGCAGTCAAGTTGGAACCAACCCTATTCCCATAAGTAACCAACAGAAGCAATTTAGACGTAATACATCGCAGGCATTGTACCAAGTAGAACACGATGCGTCATCGTCACCTGACATTTATCACCCGCATGCACATGGGCAAGATGCCCCACCATACGCCCACTCGTACGCCGTCAAACCAGATTGCATTTCAAACAAGTGCCCACGATCAGGTCACGATCAGTCACGATCAGGTCACGATCAGGTCACGATCAGTCACGATCAGTCACGATCAGGCGACATCAGGTCACGATCAGGTCACTGATCAGTCACGATCGGGATAGTCACGCAGGCGACATCAGGTCACGATCAGGCGACGATCAGGTCACGATCAGTCACGATCAGGCGACATCAGGTCACGATCAGGCGACATCAGGTCACGATCAGTCACGATCAGGCGACATCAGGAGTAGGTGCCGTGTGAGTTTCAACCACCTCGCGGACTATCCAAGGAGGGCGGAATGAGCAATGCTGCCTTGCGCGCTAAACACCACGACAGCCCCCCTTCATCCCCGAGTCTCTCCCAGTTCTTCCCATACGTGCACAACCCCCCTTCCCCCCGGAGTCTCTCCCAGTTCTTTCCCATACATGCACAACCCCCCTTCCCCGGAGTCTCTCTCCAGTTCTTCCCATACGTGCACAGCCCCTTCCCCCGCTGAGTCTCTCCTAGTTTCTTCCCATACATGCACAGCCCCCCTTCCCCGGGAGTCTCTCCCAGTTCTTTCCCATTACGTGCCACAGCCTTCCCCCGGAGTCTCTCCCAGTTCTTCCCATACGTGCACAGCCCCCTTCCCCCGGAGTCTCTCCCAGTTCTTCCCATACGTGCACAGCCCCCCATCCCCCGGAGTCTCTCCCAGTTCTTCCCATACGTGCACAACCCCCCTTCCCCCAGAGTATCTCCCAGTTCTTCCCATACATGCACAGCCCCCCTTCCCCCCGGAGTCTCTCCCAGTTCTTCCCATACGTGCACAGCCCCCCTTCCCCCAGTCTCTCCCAGTTCTTCCCATACATGCACAGCCCCCTTCCCCCCGGAGTCTCTCCCAGTTCTTCCCATATATGCACAGCCCCCCTTCCCCCCGGAGTCTCTCCCAGTTCTTCCCATACGTGCACAGCCCCCCTTCTCCCCTCGAGTCTCTCCCATATTTTCCTCTACATGCACGGAGACAAAAGCCCTCCTTGTCGTGTCGGTGCACTCACCCTGCGACCGTGGGGTCGCAACGAGGCTAGATTCATCCAGCTGTAGTCCCACATTGTGCTCTACACAAACACACACGTAGATATATAGAGAGAAAGAGAGATCTCACATCATGAAACAACACCGTGTTGGACACACTCTAACTTCCAGTATCAGGGTTCTTCCCTCTTCGTCATGACCTTCCCCATCAAACATGAGCTTCTCTAATTACAGAGTACACTAAAGCAGGCTTCTCTAGTTACAGAGTACACTAAAGCAGGCTTCTCTAGTTACAGAGTACACTAAAGCAGGCTTCTTCCTAGGACTTTAAAGCATGTCGGGTCTGATATGCCTTAAAAGTTGAGGCTAATTTGCGACATCCCATAAATCCTCAGACACGCCTTAATTTTCATCTGTGTTTACTTTTGCAAATCCCATCATAATCATGCTGTGTTTTCACAGCTTGATGTATACCTTCCCGAACTGATCGAGTTTACCTGTGTATCGGGGTGGCTTATGACACAGTTAAATGTATCCAATCAGTACAACCCCTTCCAGTCCCTCCTCATCCGTCCATAAACCAAATGCCTCCGCCATGAAATTCGTGTAACGATGTTGTTTGGGTAACTACCTATGTTGGAGGGTCTAATTTTCCCTCTCGTTCCATTCTTGGAGCATATAGGGGACCTTGACAACCATGTTGCTTTCAGCTCCATAGCTTGACCCAGCAAATCTAATTGCTTATACACAGGTTAGTTCGTTAGCCATATCCCGACGCTCCTAAGTACTAACCAGTTTCTATGGCAGGTATACAGAGCTAATCATAACACGCAGGACATGAAGGACTTTTTAATTTGCCCAGAAAGAGCACAACAGCAAACGACCAAGGTGGGACTTGAACCCCAGACCCCGGCTCCTTCGGGCTTTAGCTCAAAGCTCTAACAGTATCCCAGCAAGTTTCCACTGCTTCTTAGCACGTTTTACATTGTTTAATTACAGCACTGCTTCGGCCCATCTTTAGAAACGTCGTGATAGGTTACGACTATCACCAGTGTAAAACATTTAACATGACACTCAGCTCCAAAAGTCACACTTAACTTTAGTGTCATTGACTGACTGTGACTTCTGAGACTTGTGACTGCCCCAGGACTGAATTGCGAGGTCATAACCCCATCTGAGAGCGTGACCTTTTCTTCGAAAGCTTGTGACCTCACTGCGAGGTCATGACCTCATTTCGAGGTCACGACTTTGTCGAGAGGTCGCGCGGACACTTACGTCTGTGTCGGCTATGGAAATGTCGGGGAAAACTCTGCAGAGAAGTGTGCGTGTGTCCTCTCGCTGCTGAGAGAGGGCCCTGGCGAGAAGCTGCTCCCTCTCCTCCTGATGCTCACTGAGTGCCTTCTCCATCAACTCCTACAAATGTACACGCACGCATGCGCATGATCAGCAACACGGGTAATGGAAAAATGCAGTAAACAGGGAATTTTTTTCCGCCCTACTAAGTACAATATCAGCACTGTGAAGTTGCTAGAAGAGATGAGAATTCGCAGGTAGTTTTCTGAACGACTTTGGACACGAGAAGCACCCCTACGTAATTCCTTACCCAAACGTCAGATTGTACATCACCCAGCATCTAGGATCAGGACCTTAACTACAGTGCTACTAGTTAATTATTATGTAATTATTATTCTCTGATGGCAATATGTTCGTAACGCGTCACTGAAATGACCAAGAATCCTGAGGATTTCATTAATTGTCCGCGCACGTTTGAACATGGCTGTAGCTTTTAAGAAATGTACACGAAACCTGACTATCTTGCACTACATACATGTAAGGTCTGGTTAATGCATTAAGTGATACTACGATCAGAGGGTTATATAGTGTTTAGTTCAGGAAACACAATTATTCAGAGAGATTCAAAAGACAGTTAGTACATTAGTTTTGAACAGAAGAGCTTAATAAATTACAGAAAGGTGCATGAAATGTTCTGCCAAGTTGTAGAACTAGTACATAGTTTTAGTTCTTGTTAGTACTAGAAGAAATGTGTACACATCGTTCCCAGTCATTCACGTGTACTGACTTGATGGCACAATGGGTAACATTGATCAATGAACAGCTGACATGAAGGACTAGATATCAGCCTATGTAACTACACAGTTCCCAGGACGCCTAGGATTTTATCTATTGATGCCATGACCGTGTTTACGTTCAGACGTATTTGAAAAATGCTCTCGAAATCAGATTTCGAATGTGTCTCGGATTGCCAAAAACCACCATGAGACATCATAGAGGTATCACCTCCGATCTGCTCGCTACGTACACGCAGTAGCCTCCAAGGCACAAACACGGTCAACGGTTCCCTCAGCAATTGAGCTATCGTTTTAAGCGATATGATTCCGTCACGGCGCACCCCTAGGATTGCTGGGCTGGGTCTAGCTCACGTGGTCTGCCCGTGGTTTCACACGCTCGTGTGTGCCAAAACGTCGGCGTTCACACATTTAAAGTGTAGTAGCGCGATGCAGATTGCCTACAACTGCCCGTCGATCACGCTGACCGGATAGGCCTCCTGTGAGGCAGCCTGCCCATGCGCGCGCACGAAAGAGGGAGAGAAAGAGAGAGATCAGAGCAGAAGAGAGAGAGGAGAGACGAGAGAGAGAAGAGAGGAGAGAGTGGAGCAGAGACGGAGAGAGAGAGATGAGGAGAGAGAGAGAGAGAGAGAGAGAGAGAGAGAGAGATAGGAGAGAGAGAGAGGAGAGAGTCCCTAATATTTCAGATGAGAGAGAGAGAGAGAGAGAGAGAGAGAGAGAAAAAGAGAGAGAGAGAGAGAGAGAGAGAAAGAGACAGTGTGTGTGAGATAGAGAAGCCGTACTTTCTCGGACTTGACGGCGGCAGCGACGCGCTCGCTCGCGGCCCGCTCCGTCGCCGTGATCGCCTCCATCGCCTTCCAGTTGCGCTCCCGCAGCGTCTGCAAAGGTGCAACCACGCCCGCGATGTGACAACTCCGCATACTGACTGTCACCGTGGCTGGGGCGGGGCAGGGGCGGTGCAAGGACGAGGCAGAGCGGAGCATGGCAGAATAGGGCAACACAGAGCAAGGCTGGGGGGGGTCGGGAAGCAAACTTTCTGCCCTTCACAAACCTGTGCAGGGAGGGGCAAGGCGGGGTCAGGACGTGGCAGGGTGGAGCATGGCAGCACAGGGCGTGGTAGGGTACAAACTCTCCGCCCTTCACGACCCCCCGTCTCGTCCGCGGCTATCGCGTGTACGACTCGCCCAATTCCGAAAATCCGACTTTACTTCTCACTTGTCGGCATCATCGAAGTTCGAGAGGTGCTCTGTGCAGCATGCGGCGCATGAAGCTGAGCGTAACGTGCAAAACATGCAGCGCTAACTTCGTGGTGACGAGAAAGCGAGTCGAGTGCCGCATCCGCTCCTTCAACCCCGGGGCAACGAGCGCAAACTGATTTACCATGCAAGTGATACGGGAATGACAGAATGAAACCCACTAAGTGTGGTAGTGACACCCGCACAGGGGCAGTGACGATGAATACTAGAGTCCGAAAAAGAGAGAGAGAGAGAGAGAGAGAGAGAGAGGGAGAGAGAGACAGAAAGTGCCAACACTGAAACAGGTTTCCTCAGAGCAGGAAAGTGCAGAGCAAGGCCTATTTAAGTGGCAATTGACCCATCTGCCTGAGCGAGACAACCACGCCCTTTATAAGTTTCGTTGCTACGTCGGTTACGCCACAACAGTTTTTTCCTGTTCTTCTAGCGTGCGTGCAAAATTTACGACTTTGTAGCACCTGTCACCATGCAGCGTTTTTAGAATGCCCACATCGCAACAATGATTGGCTAGAGCTATCTGTAAATCACTCCAGGTAGATGGGTCAGTTAGTGGCAGGTGCAAGCTGTGTCCTGTCAACCGTTTGTCATCACGAAAGTAACAGGAAGCTTATAGTATCAGAGTTACACCAGTCTTGGAAATAAGTCCGAAAACCCAGCCAGTCTGGATTCTGACAATGTCGATTTCTGCTATATAACCTATGATAAAATCTATAAAAATGAACCTGTCCTGCTCAAGGGTTGCCAGTACCGGACTGGGGGGACGGACTGCTATTTCCAAAACTGAAGTTACACCACGCAAAAATCACTGTTGTGCAAAGTCAAATACAAGATGGCAAGATTCGTTGAATGCGGGGGCACACTAACAAGCCAGACTCCCACTGTGAAAAGTTTTAAAAAAGGAAAGTAGGGGTCTTTTACGATTACCAGGAATGGGGGAATCAAAAACAACATGGCTGCCGACGCCACGCGCATTCTGCTCACATTATTCTTCTGCTTCTGCTGCTCGAGCTCCCCACAGAGAGTACCGCACGTCCGCCTCTCGTTCTCCAGTTCCCCACCGAGGGCACCACTCTTCTGCCTCTCCTCATCCAGCTGCCCGTAGAGGGCGCCGCTCTTTCGCTTCTCCTCCTCGAGCTGCTCACAGAGGGCGCCGTGGTCGCGCATCTGCTGCTGCAGCTGCTCACTGACGGCACTATTGTCCTGCTTCTGCTGCTCCGCGTCCCCAGAGATGGCGCTGGCATTCTGCTTCTCGCGCTCCAGCTCCTCACAGAGGGCGCCGCTCTTCTGCTTCTCTTCCTCAAACTGCTCACAGAGGGCGCTGGCGTTCTGCTTCTCACGCTCCAGCTCCTCACAGAGGGCGCCGCTCTTCCGCTTCTCTTCCTCAAACTGCTCACAGAGGGCGCTGGCATTCTGCTTCTCGCGCTCCAGCTCCTCACAGAGGGCGCCGCTCTTCCGCTTCTCTTCCTCACAGAGGGCGCTGGCGTTCGCCTTCTCGCGCTCGAGCTCGTCAGAGAGGGCGCCACTGCGCTCCGTGTGCTGCGCGACGTCATCACTGAGCGATTTGACGAGAAGCTGCTGGTTGTAGAGGTCCCCCTGCAGCATCACAATGTGCTTGTCCTTCTCTGTCACGCTGCAAGACACACATAGATAGATATAGACATGCACGCGTTTCATGGTATATACCACATAAAACGAGGAAGGGAGGGAGAGAGAGAATCGTTAGATATAAAGAGAGAGGTGAGAGAGAGAGAGAGAGAGCGAGAGCGAGAGCGAGAGCGAGAGCGAGAGAGAGAGAGAGAGA